ATCTGTTCAGTGACAACAAATTATTGGAGCTCTATTATATTGTTTAATGCTAGTTTCTAAAGATGTTATAAAATATGCACAAATATGTTTATTTATTGTTTGAGACAATAAACTTATCTAAGTAATAGGATAATTCAACAATATAAGTATAGTAGAATCTAATTAAGCTTACAAATATTATGATATGCATATAAAAAATTAAAGTTTTATTATTGCAATAAAAGATTAATTACATTTTCTTATAATCAATAGTATTATTAGATTGATAAGTAATAATGTAACTAGCTTAATTTTACTGATTGCTAACTATGATTACAATATTTTATTGTTACTGTATTATATTTAGAATAATAAAGACATTGATTATAATGAGGGATTTCTTGAAGACTCACTTGACAGACCACAGGCAACCCTCTTTTATTTATTAGATAGAGTACATCTATTTGATGTCATTAAGATATGAAAATTAATCGGGCTTACACAAATATACAAACATTATATTGTTCTACTGGTTAATGGAGGCCACTTATGTACTTGTTTAGCAGTTATTAATCATAGAATTGTGTGTTCACATTTTTTTCACATGATGATGAATTCAAAAACTGCAAAATTTAATATCAACCTTATTTCTAAATGATGGTATATAGAAACTCTTCAGTATTATAATATTTATTCAAACTTGCAAGAAGAATCAGTAGGAGTAATTATACAATTCTAGCAAGTTGATAATAATGGTTGTATTGTAAATAATTTTCATATTTTAATCAAATTAAAGCACCACACATATTCTCAGCTGATATACAACAATATGTACAAAAAAAAGCTAAATATTTACTTGGTTTCAAAAAAGTTAAAAAAGCACTTAATATGACTCTTGATTAGAGATATGAAGATGAATTCATTAATATAATTGATGGATTTATTGATCATAAGAAATGCAGTATTGAAAGAATAAATAAAGAAAATATGCAGGTGCAGATATCAGATCCTATAGTTAGTAAGCATTGTAGATATTCATCAAATAAATGAATCAAAGCATCTTCAGAAAGCAATGCACAACATAGTAGAACTAATAATAGTGTGCTTAATTTATCTAATCCTAATTTACATATGTGGTTAACTGAGCAATCAAATAATGTATTTGCATCAAGAGTCACCTTTGAATCTATAAATGTTAAAGAGTTGTATAAGACGAATAAAGATCTTTCAACTGAATCTTCACTAACTACATTGCAAACAAATGATAATGAAGTCAAGCACAAATATATCTGCCAGCATGTGGTGAATCTGGGCACAATTCTAGGAGTTGCAATAAGTGCTAATTAACTTGTCTTTCAATTTATTATTTACAAAAATTGACTTGGATACTTTGCATTGTAACTTGCTTTCATTTATTATTTATAAAAATTTGCTTGCATACTTTGTTTAATTTATCAATTGTTTAATGTTTTTTTTATTTGTTATTGCTTTTAACTACATCGGGAAATTTTTTTTATAGAAAGTAATCGATATATAGCATTTAATCGTTTTATATCGATTTCTAAATAACG